CCCACTTTGAGACTCATCCCAAGAGCCCCAGCTAAGTGGACAGAGAAAGCCATGAGGTAATTCAAGGCTGGAGCTAGATTCAGAGCACCAAGAACTAACCAGGCAGCTGGGCTCCCACACTGAGGAACCACAGGGTATAGGCAGAGTAGGAACCACAACAGAATGGGCTCTTAGCTAAGAGTATACAGTCAGACATAGGCCTTCAACAGTCTAGACAGATGTGGGAGGCAAGGATGCAAGATAATTCAGTGAGTCTTAAGGGTTTATTGCTGTGAAGAGACACCATGACCAAGGCAAGGAAACACTTAACTGGGGCTGGCTTTCAGTTTCAGAGGTTCAGTCTATTATCATCATGACAAGAAGCATGGCAGAGCTTGAATATATATACATACACATAAACACATACACACATACACACACATATGAGACTTCAAAACCAGCCTACACAGTGACACACTTCCTCCAACAATGTCACACGTATTCTAACAAGGCCACACCTCCTAATGGTGCCATTCACCATGGGCCAAGCATTCAACACATGAGTCTATGGGCAAACCTATTTATAACACCATGGTGCCAGATCCACTTTATACAAGGACTGGTGTTGGTGACTGACAAGGGGGGATTTATTATAAGGTCACAATTCTCAGAAAAGCTCTCCCATGCTTCACCTCTGGTCTTTTGGGTCAGCTGACCTTACAGAAAAAAGCTCCTTGTCTGTTGCCATGCTGAGTCAGGTGTGGACCTGACACTCTTTTCTCTCTCTCTCCTCCAAGGTGAACAAGGCTCTGAAGCAGAAATCGGACATTGAGCACTACAGGAACAAGCTGCGCCTGAAAGCCAAGAGGAAAGGGTATTATGACTTCCCCCCAGTGGAAGCAAACAAAGGCCTGACAGAGAGGAAGATGTATGAGAAAGCCCCAAAAGAAATGGAGCATGTTTTGGACCCAGACCCAGAACTGTGTGCTCCCTTTGCAGAGTCTAAAAACAGGTACATGCTCTATGGCTGTACTTTATGTCCCTGTGTAACATGGGATGAGGACAGAGGACAGCTGGGGCATTATACCCGTGTTCCTTGATCCTACCTTGGGACTTTGATCTTTGCAGGCTTTTGATCTGGTTCCCACAGGCATGTACTCAATAATGAGTCTGAAAGAGAGTCAAATTGAAGCCGTTAAAAATATTGTGGTGCAAACAACCCCAATTGTCCTTTAGCTTAATGATATTTTCAAGCCAGGAGCTATTTCAGAGCTGGGTGAAATATAATTATCACTTACCTGGTTACGCAACTTCCAGATCAAGGGCCATTGCATTGTTCAATTATGCTAGTGGTTCTCACACAGGAAGGCAGATTGCATGCCCCATGTTTTCATCCAGCCTTAGTGAGTGCCTGCCACACTTTGGCTCCATGCTAGCTCGTTTCAGTCATTCACAGATCTGTCCAGTTCTGTGACAGATCTGTGAAGCAGAGCTAGACCAAGCGGTTTGAACTGGTTTCTCTCTCCATCTGTTCTTTGCTTTTGTAACAAAGTACCTGAGATCAGGGAATTTGTAATTGGCAGAAATTTATTTTCTAACCATTCTGCTGGCTGGGAAGTCCAAGATCAAGGTGCCAGGATCTGGTAAAGGTGCTTGCTGTCCTAACATATAGCGGAGGGTGGAAGGGCAAAGAGCAAGGGGCCTTAACTCACTCTTTTACAATGCCATTTGTCTCAGTCACCGTCCTATTGCTCTGTAAAGACACCGTGACCAAGGCAGCCATAAAATTTAATTAAATATTTTATTTCATATTCATACATGCATATAGTACATTTGAATCCAAACGATCCCCCATTTCTTTTCCTCCAGTTTGTTCCCAACCCCTCCTTTTCCCTCTGAACTTCATGTGCTGTCTTTTACTTTATTCTTTTTTCAAATTTAGTATCTTCGGAATCCAGTTAGTGCATCCTGTATGTGCACGGGTGTAAACCCATCTCCTGGAGCATGGGTAGCCTGCATCCTTGAAGAAAAGTGACTACCCCTCTCCCATTAGCTAGAGGTGGGACCTCATGATCCCCTCCCCGACCCATTCTGGGATGTTGGCAGGCTTGATCTAGTACAGGTCTTGTGTCTGCAGTCACAGCCGCTGTGAGTTCATGTGTATAACAGTGACGTCTAGTAAATACTCTCCCGCTACAGATATCTGCCCCTTCTGGCTCTGACAATCTTTCCGCCTCCTCTTACTCAGTGGAGGAAGTTGGTGTGGTGCAGATGTCCCACTCAGACCTGAGCACCCCAGTCTCTTAGTCTCGGCGTGTTGACTGGTTGCTGGTCTTTGATGAGAAGCTTCTCTGAAGAGGGCTGAGTATAAAGATAAGAACTCATGGATCTGGGTGGAGAGGAGGCTTAGTAGTTAAGAGCCCTTGCTGCTCTTTCAGAGGACCTACACAGCTGCTCACAGTCATCTGTGACCCCAGTTTCAGGAGTTCTAACGCCCTCTGGCCCCCGTGGGTTCCAGTCATGCATGTGGTACACATGTACACAGGTATAACACTCAAACACATAAAATTAAAATCAATGAGGATATTTTTAGAAGAACTCAGGGAGTAACTTTTTACTATGCCCACTTAGCAGAACAGTAGTACTAGGTTTTCCCCCTAGGAGCTAGGCAGCCACAGGATTTTGGCCCAGTTAATGATACCAGGCATGGGGCCCAGCTTATGGAGTGGGCTTTACATGCAATTTTAAAAAGTGTTTGATTCCTTTCATACTACTTCTGCTGCTTTTGCACCAGTGTGCATCTTAACCAGCCAATCATTACTATAGCTTGCAGGGCTCATAGCTGAGTAAGACTGATGGTGACCAGCCCCCGAATCTGTAGAACCTTCCAGCACTGTGAATGTTAGCCAGTAGGAGTGACCACATTTTAACATGAATTTTAGAAAAGGAAAACATTCAAAGTGGGCAGCTATCTCCAAGCTCTGTGGCTAACCAGGAAGTGACTTCCCATGCTGGGCAAAGAGGTAAAGGTTAGTAAAGCTTCTCCTGTCTGCCTCTCTTCCCTTCCTGCCTGCCTGCAGCACTTCTGTAATTTGATACCACCTCTACGCAGGATACATTCTCCTTGGCAATCCCCTGGCCTTGGGCACACAGACACTGCAGCCACTGAGAAGCCACAACACGAGCATGTTCCACACACTAGGGACAGAGTAGGGCAGAGCCTGGCCTAAATGGACATTTGCTTAAAACATAAAAATAAATTTGAGAAAAAAATGAACAGAATTGGATGAAACCAACAGAACCAAGTTGAGAGCTGGAATAAACTGAAGCAACTTAATTTATTGACGGTAAAGAAAAAAAGGAGGGGTTTCTAAGCCAGAGTTTAATTTGCCAGGGCTTGGTTAGCTGGTATGACAAACGAGGGCATAAAATCCCACAATGCACACATCACCATGTTAGCAGGTGTAGGAGGAGGGAAAGAAAAGGTATGGATTTGACAGGAAGGCTGATCGCAACTTTAATTTGTACTTTGTTCTTGGGGACTGTGCTTCAGGCTTCTCGGATGGACTGAGGTGAGACCTGTTTTTCCCCAGCTTGGAAGTTACTGGAGAGATAACATTTTCAATGATTTTCTTTTTGAGCAAAGCTTTTCCCTGGGAGCTGTAAGGTCCCGTGATGGACCGGTGGGCTGTGACTGCTGTGTGCACTCTCAGCAGATATCCATTGTCTCTACAGCACTAGGAATGGTTTGTAAAAACATTCAAATGTTCACTACTTAAGGAAAAAAAGACAGCCATGAGTTAGATGAGCTGGGGATGGGGGTGAGAGATAGAGTGGAAAGAGATGGCTTGGTAGAGAAGCCTAATTGGAAAGTAAGCGACCTCGCCTCAGCGGTTCTTGACAAGCTGCCGCTGACTCCACCCAGCCGCGTGCTGACTCCACCCAGCCGCGTGCTGACGCCACCCAGCTCAGGATGGTTCCTGACTCACTGCTGCTGCCTCCACCCAGCCGCCTGCCTGCTGTTTAATCTGTTCTCACAGGTTGGAGATGGCTTTTAATTGCTGTTCACAGCACAAGCCTGAGAGATGCTGCTGTGAGCCGCCCAGCTAGAGCAGGGCACAGTGAAGTAATCGTTGTCTAGTGAGCAAGAACATCACTAACTTCCCTTTAGAGCAAAGAAATAGCCAGAAGAGGCAAAACTGAGATTCTAATGTTAACTGATCACTAAATCTCTGAGTAGTTTCAAAGTTCTTTTTTTTTTCATCTAAAATTAGTTAAAACACCCTATTTCATATTATGCACACATGTGGAGACACAGAGTGGGCAGCCTGACTGAGGCCGATGCTGTCTGTGGCGGGTTTGTCTGCTCAGCTGGCTTTGCACCTGCTGTCTGCAGCCTCCGTAACTCCTTCAGGGACTTTTCTCAGAAGCTGAAAGTGTTGTGTAGCTAGTGTGTTGTAGGGCATCCTCAGCTGATGACAGGTTAGGAGTCATAGATCAGTACCCCTGGCAGGAGATTCTGGGTGTCAGAAACACCACTGTAATAGCCATAGTTTCAAGGTTTTGTGTTAGTTACTTATACATGGAGCAGGTGGAAAAAATCTTGACCTCCCCCAAGGATTACCCAATGCCAAGTAACAAAGACTCACCTGCAAGCATACTCTTGAGATGAAACCAATCATAGAACCATGCTTCAACCACCTCCTTTAGACAGCCTCCTGGGGCTCTAGTTCAAAGCCAATATCCACCTGCCCTGATCACCCCAGAGCCAAGCACTTGATGAATGAAGACCATCCTTGTGCTTCTGGAGTCTACCATCATCATCCAAACCATCTCTTCTCACACTGCTTCCCCTGCCCTGCCCACTGCGTCTCCTAGAAGCTACAATTTAAAGGCTTTTGCTCCTGCTTCCTGCTCTCTCCCTCTGCCTCCTGACCCACCTGGTCACTGTGTGTCCCACCCTGGTCCGCATCATGGCCTGGATCTTTCTCTGAGCTCTGTGGGTGTAATAAACTGTCTTCTCAACAGCAGGCATCTCTTGCCATTGAACAATAATAATTAAAACAAACTCCCACATGGTTTTCCAGTGAGTCTGAGCCCCAGCCACCCTAAACACCAATCACTTCCTTACTACACCTCTGTGGACTTCCATACATCCTTCCCTGCCTCCCCAGGCCCCAGCTGGTAATTTGCAGAGCCCCCTTGAAAACAAACCGTTTGCACTCAAATCCTCACAGATCATGAATCTATGAGGCCGACACAACATAGTAACCTATTCAGTCATCTATTCAGAGTTGCTCTGACAGAAACTGGGCATCCTCCTCCTTCTCAGCTGCCTACGCCGACTCCACAGAACCCTGGGGCTCCATATATGAAAATATGAAAACTACTTTCTTTATCTGCTGAAAGTTCTTAAAGGTTCAAGTAAAATATATCATAACCCATCCAACAATATTGTCAGAGGGGAAGAAACTCAAATTGACATGTTATAAATTATTGCAAAACAAGAACAAGTGTGCCTAGTGGCATCAGCTGATAAATAAGTATCCCTTTACATGACAGTCTGATTTATTGCCAAGTGGAGAGTCCTACACCGGGCACACACCCACAGTGGAAGTCTGGTTGTTGAAACATGCTAAATAAATCTTTCAGATGTACATCTTGAGCTAAGGAGGTAGCTCAAACGTAGGATAACACTTGTCTGGTATGCACAAGGCCCTGGGTTCAATTCCCAGCACTGACAAAAAAGGCTAGCCATGATAATGCATTGTTTTCTCTGAAGGAAGAATAAAGCAGTAAGCGCTCCAGTGTCAAAGCTTCTAACATAACCACGTTCCTCACTAGTCTATGTCTAATACTTATGAAATAACCCACTGCCAGTCTGCCAGCTTATTCTGCCACCATCATATTAGAAAAGCTTTTCTTAATGGGCTAACTGACAGTGACCGGGTAGCTATGAGATGTGATTTCTTTTTTCCAAAAACATAGTTGTCATTAAGTCAAAGATGCAAATTCTTTGGAATCTCCTTTAAAGTATGAGTCATTCTGAACATATTCTGTCTCATAAGCCTGCTGGACCCAGGCTTCTTTCCTAAAGGAAGCCCCTAGTTGCAGATAACTGGAGGGTACTGTTTATAATGGGAGGTTGTAAGCTGCCATATTAGCCAGGATTCTTTTGGTTGCAAACTGGAAATCCAGAACAACCTGGTTAAACTAAAGGGACTGGATTGCCTAGCATTAGTCAAGGCCAAAGCTTTAGTCTGGCTCAATCAAGGGGACCATACTGGTTTTGTCTTTGCTTTCTCTTCACTTTTTTCCAAGCTTCATTTGAAGGCAGGCTAAAACCTCATGATGACAAAAACCAGCTATCAGAAACCCCAGGTGTCAGAAACCCTAAGCACATGCCCCTCAAATCCAAAAAATTCCCTCTTTCCTAGTTGCTTTGGCCATAGCCTTGAGACTCAGTCTCACTGGACCCAACTTAAGTCATGCATGTGCCCACAAGGGTAAGTATCATGGGACCAAGAAGGCAAAAAGAACAAACAGATTCTCTTCAAATAAGCGTGGTTCCTCATGATAGAGGAGATCTAGGCATGTCTGTTGTATTCATGGCTAAGTGTTAGGGCAGAGCCTTGAAGTTCTTGTTGGATTGTATATGACTTAATTCTGTCACCACCTTATTGTGTTCATAAAGCAATGTGTGTGTGTGTGTGTGCTCAGTCTCTGGCTTTTCACAGCTACTGGGAATAAATAGCACCATGTCTTTACTCCCAGCTACGAAAACCTAGAATCCTTGAACTGAAACATGCACTAGGTTGTACTTAAGAGTTCTCTGAAGATGGACTGGAGGCAGAAGTCATTTTGCTGTTGAATGAAGGGGAATTTTCATCCCTGTTACTCTGCAGAATCCCATCGAAGTCGTCTGTCTTTAATGAGTCTCACTCCAGCTGATAAACATTGCCACTTGTGGTGGGGGCAGAAACAAGCATGACCACATTCTCTTCATGTGGCTGTTTCTGTCCCCCTCTGTAGATAGATTCCTCCAGTGACAAGCAGAAACAAGACAGTGGCAAATGTGTGAATGTATGAGAAGTAGCTGAGCTGACACCTTGAATGAGCTACTGCTACCTGGGTTTGGTGCTCACTTCAGAGGCTGCATTTCTTAGAACTCAACTAAAAGGCTGCTGCTTCCTTAGAGAATCCTTCTCTGACCATTCTAGTTATTCTCTGTCTTAGCTTCTTATTTTTATGTGTGTGTGTGTGTGTGTGTGTGTGTGTTCATTTGCATGTGTGTGCATGTGCATTTGTATGTGTGTGCCTGTGCATTTACACGAATGTACATTGTGTGCCCTGGGTATCGTCCTTCAGTATTCACCCACCATTTGTTGAGACAAGGTCTCTCATTGCCGTGGAACTTGTCAGGCAGGCTAGGTTGGTTAGGCAGTGAACCCCAGAGAGACTCCTGTCTCCTGATATGGTATTACAAGTGTGCACTACCATGAGTGGCATTATTATTAGTTATTACTATTATTATTAATTTTATGATTATTATCATTATTATGTATATTCTGGTACTTGAACACAAGTCTTCATATATGCAAGACAAACATTTTACTGAGTGAACCACATTCCCAATATTCCTTCTTTTTCTTAATAACACTAATCACTTTGAAGTTAGCCTGCCAGTTGTCTCTCCCATTAGGATGTAAATAGTGGGATTACCAGGGCCATGGATGCTCAGCTCCCAGGTACTTAGCACAGGCTAGGCACTTGGTGATATATAAATAAATAAATAATTTTTTTAAAAAAAGTAAAAATTGGTGACTGGGTGGTGGGCCCCAAGTTGCCTCCAGGCTTATGGTCTTTGCTAAAAAGAGAATCTACTTGGTAATTGTAGAAAAGAAATCAGTCAATGATCACAGCATCAAACGTGGCCCATTCTCTACAGGCTTTATTTACTAACACATTGTAGGAGTCCATGCCTGAAATCTAAAAGATGGAAAAGAACAAGAGACTGCTGAGTCAGCAAAGTCAGCAAAGGCAAGTTTGTTCCGCAGTGTTAGCTGTCCTCGAGGGTCAACAAAGAACCCCTGGCCTTGCCATCAGCAGAATTTTAGATGAGGTTTCACTGCTCCAATTGATTGTAGTTGCCTAATTTGATATGAAAAAACACGTAATTCAGCCAGATAGTCATAGCATCTGGGGTGGCTCAGGAGGGCGGGGTGCCTTGTTCCACGCTGCCGGCCAAGAACCAAGTACCATTAGTTCTGAGGAGATTCCAAGGCCAATTCAAACACTCTACTGGTTGCTGAGGCCAATCCAAACCCTCTACTGGTTGCCTGTAGGTTTGGATCGGTGGAGAATTCCATCTGTCAGGACATTTGCTGCATCATAACAGTTGTTGGATTTCCTTCAGGCAACAGATGAAGAACTCTGTCTACCGAAGCCGGCAGTCTCTGAATAGCCCGAGTCCCGGAGAAACTGAGATGGATCTTCTGGTCACACGCGAGAGACCTCGTCGTGGAATCCGGAACAGCGGATACGACGTAAGTGTGTGGTGGACTGGGGTGGACAAAAGCTTCCCTGAGAAAGCCAGAGGACACGGCATTACATAGTATTTCAGTTTATTACTTGTTTTGACATCTCGAGATGCCCAGCAATGTTTTTTATGTGGTGGTGGTGGTGTTTGGGGAGGGAAGAAGTCGAGGGGGGGGATGGTTGTTGTTTGTTTTCCTCTTTTTTACAAAGTAGCTTTTGCAACACGTGAGAGTGATTGTGCTTTCTAAATTGTGCTATTCTGCGGTGTATTACATGCAATTCAAGGGAGATTGTAAATGGTCTTAATCCCGTCCCCCTTACCGGTAGAAACATGGTCAGAACTGTAGCAATGCATTAGAGTTTGTGGAATCCTGGCTGCTTTTAATCTGTAACAGTTTTGAAGATTTGCACTTGTTCCTGATTTCATAACTCCTTAGTGAGCCATAGTAACAATCAGATGTCAAACAGTGAGAGCTGATTCCGTGTAACAAAGCACAAGCCTGGGCTGAGAGATGAGTCCAGACCGCAGCCACTCCTCTGTGTCCTGTCGGGTTTCTCCAGAGGTGGAGGATCAATCCTGGGCCAGCCCTCAAGATGGAGACATCCTGCACTTAGAGTTGCACCCAGGAGCTCATGTGACTGATTCCACACTGGAGGTGGAGATGCACGCCGCTCCTCTCCCTACCTCACAGTTTCGAAGATTCTTGATGTAATTGCAGTTTTATTTAAATACAGACACACACTTCTTTCTCATTCCCTAAATAGTTCTTTAATTACAAATTGTTTTCTATAACAGGAGTAATATTGTATTACTATAACAAGAGTAATACTTGATATTTTTAAAAAATATGTTATGCTGATTTGAAGCTTTCCCTTTTGAGATTCATCATTGTTTGGTATAAGCCCTTAAAATGGGCTTTTTAAATGGTCTGATTTAAAACAGGTAATTTGAATCTCTGATGATCTGGCTTGATTGAACTCTAATGTGGTGTTGATACAGATGTTCATGTCTTTTCTCAAGTGCTGAGCACTGAGCACAGGGGCTTGCACTCACTCGGCAAGCATCCATCGCTGAGTGACAACCCTGGCCCACTCATCCTTTCTCTACAGTGACACGGATTATTTATTTCTTTGCTCGAGATTTTCATTTTACAAAACTCTAGACACCCCGACCACATGTTATGATGTTACATCTTTGCTTTTCTGTTGAATTCTCATAAAGAGACATTTTTCTCCTTATAAGAAATAATTCTGGGCTAGGGGGATGGCTCACTGAGTGAGTGTGTCTGCTGTCTCTCACTTGAGTTTGGATCCTCAAACACCTATGTTAAAGTTGAACATGGCTGCAAATGCTGACCTGAGCCCTGGAGGTCACTGGCCAGCAAACCTAGAAAAGATACACTGCAAGTTCAGTGAGAGACTCTGCCTCAAAAATAAAGTGAAGTAACCGGAGAAATGGCTCAGCAGTTAAAGTACTTGCTACACAGCTGGGAAGATGGGATCCCAAAACTCCAGAACCCATGTATATGCCAGGTAGGCATGACAGTTTGTCTGTGATACAGAAGGCAGAAACAATGGATCCCCAAAGCAAGCTAACTAAGCAAGACTTACAATGTCAGTGAGCTCTGGATTTGACTGAGTTCATGTGTCAATGAATAAGGTAGAAAAGTAATAAAGAAAACTTCCCCACATCAACCTTGGACCTCCACAGACATGCACATACATTGGAAC